TGAGTTGATTCTTTTTCCTTTTCTCTACTTTCCAAATTTTCTATGATGTGGTAATATTGCATCTTAATGGAAGAAATTATTTTAAAAATATATCAAGTCCCGTTGTCCCCCAATGCGTATGAAGAGTAGAAAGGGGTTCCACTGTATGTGTAGAAAAACATAATAATGGCCATTGATAATAAAAGAACCTTAATAAAAATTAATAACCTCCCCAGAAACATCCTGTGCAAGAATGGCGTAATACTTTCCCAACACAGACATACTGACTTCCTCCAGGATCAGGTTTGGGGGACCTTTTCTTATCAAAGTGAGTGGAGTTTTGTCAAGCTGGGCTGAATGGGGGAAATTGGCCAACTCCAGACTTGCATGCTGCTCACGGCCGGGCAGCCAAGGAGCAGACATGCTGCCTCGCCCCATGCCGGTGTTCCCCACCTCCGGGCTCCTTGGGCCGAAGCGCTGGAGCCCACGTTGGGCTGGTCCAGCTTACAGGGCACCGTGGATGAGGCCCTCGCTTGATTCCCTAATTAGGGTGCAGCTCCTGGATGGGCGGCCGGTAGTGAGGGGAGGCTAGTGCGAAAGGAGGGAAGGAAACGGAGCCGGTCGTTCTGAATGAGCAATCAGTAGTAGGTGTTTTTGCAAGTGGCGGTCTGAAGGGAGAGGCGGTGGCTCTTTCTATATCCCCTCATTGGCAGTTAGAGGAAATCTTGGCTGATGGAGCATGGTGGGCTTTGGGCTTTTCTCAGCATTAAAAGCAAGGAAAGGGCCAGCACGGGGTGGGGGTGGGGGGCAGTCACGTTATCGGTAGTAGGATGGGCCAGATGTAATTTTGGCTGAGCCAGGGGGCCACTCATGGGAGAGGACAGCTGATGTAATGAATGACAGAATGATGGAATAATGGAGCCAATCAACCCACGTTATATCGCCTCCCCCCACCGTTGTTCATGTTCTCAGGACGCCCTTTGATTTGCAATGTGCGGACCACAAGCAAACAGCTTGCTTAATGCGTGGGGAGTTGGCACGATGAGTCATATCGCAAGGGCCAGTGGCCTTATAGTATCTGCTACTCACATAATTTCGATCCTTGCCAAATGCGAAGAACAATAAACCCAAACCAACCCCACCCCAATAAACATAAACGCACCCCAAACACACAACAGAAATTTCCCCACCGGTTTTCTTTCCAAAGCTAAAGAAGGGAGACCCAACTTTTTGTGCCAACTTCTGGAATCTTCCTTTCATGTTTTTCATGAGAGGGAAAGAAGGCTGGTCCTTTTTTCCTGGAAAGATAAATTTTTAATGAATGTAAATGTTCTTTTAGCTTCTCAGTTTGGCGGAAGGGACCCATAGAGCTTGGACAGCCCGTCTCAGGAACACAATCAACTTGCTCCTTGTTATTTCTTTTTCCTTTCACTGCCCAGCGAAGCACAAAAGCTCTCGCCTGGGCCTTTGTTTCTGAGCCTGCCATGCGCTCAGCCAGCAGAAACAGCTTGCCTTAGAAGGGAGAGCGCCCGATGAATTGGCCTCACTGGATTGTCTTCTAACAATGGCAACATGTCCGCTCCAACAAATCCTCCTCCCTGCATTTACCCAGGTTTTATTTATTAAATATCTACTATGTGCCAGGAACTACTCTATTTCCTCCTTTGAACAACCTGATGACATAGCCAGTCTTACCATCATCATCATCATCCCCATTTTACAGATGGGAAACTGAAGTGAGGGGTCAAGAGCTGTCATAGCTGATCTGTGACAAGATTGGCCATCGGGCCCCAGAGCCCATACTCTCAGCCTTGACAATACTCTGCCTCCCCTAGTACCTAACATCTTGCTAGGCACTGGGGGTGCGGGGCAGTGGGGCATGGAGTTTGGGCTAGGAAAAGTGAAAAATTGCTTTTCCATTTTTTTTTTTAAAGATTTTATTTATTCACTTGAGAGAGAGAGAGAGCAGGAGGGAGCACAAGCGGGGAGAGCGGCAGACAGAGGGAAAGGGAGAAGCAGGCTTCCCGCTGAGCAGGGAGCCCAATGTGGGGCTCGATCCCAGGACCCCGAGATCATGACCTGAGCTGAAGGCAGACACTTAACTGACAGAGCCACCCAGGTGCCCCTCTTTTCCAGTCTTACGGCCACTAGTTCCCTGGGCTGCTCTGTAGATCCTAGTTCTTGAACATCCATTTTGGTCTCACTGGGCTTCCACTCCCACTGGCTGGCCTATGATTGATTCTGCTCACTGCGCTGCCTCAGAGAGGGTGTACAAATTGCAGTCTGCATTTCTTCAGGGTCTGGGGCCCTTGGCTTTGAGACTGAGGTGGGGCTGGGCTCCCTTTCTTGCCTCCCCTGACCTTTCCCTAGCAGAGTGTCAACACTCCTGTCGAAGAGATCCAAGGGGACAGCACAGCCACTTCTCGGGGATGTTGGGCTGGAGGGACACGTGGAGTCCAGCTCACCTAGAGGGGCCTGCTTTAAGGATGGAGGGAGGACCTACGTTCTGCCATGCCACACTGTAATTTCTATGATGTTTGGGTTAAAAGCCAGCCTTAGTCTTACTGGACTCATCATCCCCAGTTCTGCACCTTATTGATCCCACAGGATTTACAATCACTATCAAAGGAACTGACTCTTTTGGTCTGGAGATGGTCAGAGTTCCATCTGAAGTAGACTGTCAGTGGCATAGGAAGAGGAGGGAGAAATAATGAGCTGTTTTGTAGACCTCAGTTCCCAAAGCATGACCTCCGTTTGTAGAAAATCAGAATTCTAAATAATCGTTATCAACAAAGAATGACATCGATCAAGTGCCTATTAGTGTGTGAGGTTGGGCACCCTATCAGGCAAACCAAATACCTTTCTTTGACCCTAGGATGGCCTGGGTGGTACCGTTCCCCTGAACTCCATGTCCTGTGAAAAACTTGATCACGTAATGAGGGTGTCATAAAGGTGTCTATCTCCCCCATGTGACCACGAGCTCTTTAGGGGCAGAGACTACTCTTCATCTCCTTTGCATCCCAAGGCTAAGCAGGCCCTTCTCATAGGTTTGTTAAATGTTGATGACTCTCATACTTTATGGAGAAACGAGATATTTCCGCCATCAGATCTACCAACCTACCTCTGCATTCATCTTTTTCTTCTGTCCGCTTATATTTAGTGTCTCGCGGCAAAAGTCAGTTCTTCATCCCGTGCTCTGCGTTTCATCTCCTGCCTTCTCAAGGATTCCTTAAATTATCACCTCCCTCTCTTGCATCCTGAAACTCTTTCTCTCTTCCCTGCATCATCCCCATTAGGCAAAAAGCAAGCCAACCCATACTCAACGATCTCCCACTCTTGAAATCTCCCCAAAACCCCACACCTTATTCTGGTCATCATCCCATTCCTCTGCATCTTTCTCAAGAAAACTTCTGGAAAAAGCTGGGTATACACAGTAGTTCCACTTTGCCTCCTCCCTTTCACACACGAGCCTACCTTTTCTGGTTTATACCCGATGGTTACAAAAATGTGTTCTTGTCAAGACCACTGCCAGCCTTTAAGTTGCCAAATCTTGAGGTCTAGCTACCTCTGTCTCCATCTTGTTTAGCCCTAGGAAATGTTTCACACAGTTGCCTCCTCCCAACTTCTCCAAATGCATTTCTCTTCAGGGACAGTGCACTCTGCTGCTTTCCACTCACACCTCTCTCCTGGCTTTTTCTCAGTCTCCCTGGTAGGGTCTTCCTCTTCCCACTCCCGAGATATGGGGCCCTGGCCTTGACCTTTCTCTTTCTATGCTGTGCTTTCTTTAAGAATCTCATCAATTCCATCATATATGGTTGACGATTCCTGTATTTATATCTCCAGCCCAAACCTTTCCATGATATCCAACTGCCTACTTGACACCCTCCCTTGAATGTCTCACAGGCACCTCACATTGACCTCCTTCCAAACCAACCTCTTTATTCTCTTTGCTTTCCCCAGACCACATCCTTTTCTAGTCTTTTTAATCCTTGCAACTAAAACCTCTGTCTACCTAGCTGCTCAAGCCAGGAAGCTGAGCGCCATGTTTGATTCCTCTCCTTGCCCGCTCTGAGGGGTCCTCTCACTGACCCTCTCACTTGTCCACTTGTCTCTCCCCACCTCTCTGATATTGCCACGCATTGCACCGGGTCTGAGGCAGATGCTGGTTCATTGAACAGACTTGGTCCACATGCTCAGTAAATGTATGTTGAATGATGAATGGATGAAAGAATGGCTGAATAACAGAAGGAAAGGCCCAGAGTCTTAGATTCCCCATCAGAAGTTGTAGCACAAGCATGGTCACAGTCATGGCAAGAGGCTCGCCCCTGATTCATCTGGTGCCCCTGATCACTGGACTTAATCTTGTAGAGACTCAGTATCTTCCTCTATAAAATGAGTCTAGTAACATCTGACTCATAGGATTATTGTAAGGACCCAATAGCATGACCCCTAGCATACAGTTAGTGCTCAATTCATGCCTTATTAGAAAAAGAAAAACCTATAATATGAACAACCCAGCCGTTGGATTAGATATTTTTTCCTATTGTTTTGGCATGTGTTACACTCAGCCCGAGGTAAACCTAAAAAGGCTTATGAACGAACGGATAAATACAGAGCACACATCATCACCAACGAGTCAGAGGAAAAAAGAGTGATTTCAAACCTGAGCCCAGATGCAGTGGGAACGCTGGGGACGCAGTGCGGGTAGGGGGCGCTCTTCTGCCATCCCCGTCTGTCTCCACCACCAGCTGGGCTTTGCTACTGTCTTCCTGTTCCTGCTCCTGCTCCCAGAGGGGCAAGTGATGGATGGAAACATCATAAACAAGAACAATGCCTATTGTGCTCGGCTTAGAAACGGCCTGTGTTCTTTTAAAAATTATGAATAAAATAGCATACTGACTAAATCGGGTGGTGTGGAGGATTCACAAATGAGAATGCAAATGAAAATGAGCTAACTTGTTAGGTTTGGGAGGAAAAAAAAGAGAGGTCCCTGGAACGGCCTCTGTCTATTGCTGGGATGGTGAGGGGAAAGCCATCTCTGTGAACAAAAGATCAGAAATTGCCTCCGGAGCGCTGTCTGCTTCAGAAGAAAGGTCTGTGGTTAGGAAACCTCTCATGGAGGAAAGAGCACATTTTGGGGGTGGGGGGGAGAGGGAGGCCTGTACTGATAATTTTGTTGTTATTTGTTGACCTGATGAGATGGAAAATAGTTCAGGTATTAAATCCTAAAGGGAGAGCAGAAAGTGTTATAATAAAAATTGCAATTCCTCGTCCCTGGCCCAGGTTGAATACAGCCAGCAACCAACTCACCAGGCTTCTGCTCACAGGAGTTTCATCTGGGCCTTAGCTCATGGGAAATGAAAGCCCAGGCACTCCTGATGTTGATGGGATTTGCAGAAAATTGTTACATATCATGCAGATCTATTTCCTTTTCTTAGTCTTCTTTCAAAAGAAATGAATTCTTAGGGCACTTATGAAAATGAGTAAGTGGGGACAGGAGACTGGGGCCAAGCCTTTTGTAGGCAGAAGGATCTGAGAACAGTGTCCCCTGACCCTCCTAGGCACTGCCACTGGACCCCAGGGCCGGCTGAGGGAGAGTTGACTTTGCCTTTCAAGCCTCCCTGAATCCCCTTGGACATGGATGCTGTATCAAAGATCTGATGAGCGAGCCAGAGGTTGAGGGGGAAAGGGAGAAGGGGAGACAGATGACAGCGAGGAAGACCAGCCCCAGATGTCATCAGGGGACTCAGCAGAAGATGCCTGTGACACCAGGCACACATCATTGCTCACCAACAGTGACCCCCCCCCCCATGGATGAATCAGTGCAAAGCCAGTGTGAGTTTTTCCCCAGAAAGTGTAAGAGGGAGGAGTTGCAGAAGAGGGCACACTTTGAAAGACTAAACAATTTCACCCAAAGAGACTGAGAATTAAGTAAGAGAAATGTGTAAATGATTACACTGGACTGAGTGTATTGGAGTGGACCAAATGTCTGCTCATGAGAAGTGCAGATAAGGAATAGGTAGATATGAATAACTCCAGTTCCTCTGTATATCTGAGCTCTCCTGTGAATAAATTTGCAATCTGAATGCACATGTTGCTTCTCTTCACTGTCAACCACTACCTGTATTTTAATAGGTGCTTATTGAAAAATCTGGAAAGTTATATAAAGGCCTAAATGAATGCATTTCTAATAACTGAGTTTCCAATGCTGGTGGGAGAGTGAGAGATATCTGCCTATGTTATTTTACAATACAAACAATTCTAAGATATAAAACAAAGGTGAGGAAGTCCGACGATGTTTTGATGTTTGTCGTGACAGCTGGAGTTATATCCAGAAGATGTTTTGGGTGCCCGTAGGACACGTTCAGTCTATCTGCTGGGTAATCTAGCTCTGGCAGAGTCTGGTAGAGTCTCTTGGCCTGGTTCCATAGTTCCCTCCTGGGTACCATCTCCTTGGCTGGGTCAATGGGATAGAAGCAAGAGAACATGGACTTTGGGCTCAGAAGACTAGACTCCAACCCCTACCCTTGTCACTTAGCGTGTGACCTTGAGCTTTTCGTACAATCTTTCTGAGTCTCAGTTTTCTTGTCTATAAAATGGGGATAACAACAAAAGGTAGAGTGGGAACAAAAATCGAAAAAGGAATACATATGAAAATGTCACAGAATGTTTGTCTGTATGAGTACAAGAAGTATTATCATCGGGATGTTTCTTTTGTTGTTGTTGTTTAAAGATTTTATTTATTTATTTGACAGAGAGAGAGACTAAGCACGAGCAGGGGGAGTGGCAGGGAGAGGGAGAGGGAGAAGCAGAGTCCCTGCCAAGCAGGGAGCCCGATATGGGACTCGATTTTAAGACCCTGAGATCATGACCTGAGCCAAAGGCAGACACTTAACTGACTGAGCCACTCAGGCACCCCCATCTAGATGTTTCTAAAAGTAAATTACAACCAAATGCTAGTGAGGATGCAGAGGAATGGGAACTCTCACTCACTGCTAGTGGGAATGCAAAATGGTGCACCCACTTTGGAAGACAGTGTGGCAGTTTCTTATAAAGCTAAACATAGTTACACCATTTGATCCAACAATCGCACTTCTTAGGTATTTACTGCAATGAGTTGAAATGTTATGTCCACACAAAAACCTGCACATGAATGTTGATAGCAGCCTTTTTTCCCCCCATAACTGTCAAACACTGAAATCAACCAAGACGTTCTTCAGTAGGTGAATGGATAAACAAACGGTAGTATATCTAGACAACGGAGTCTTATTCAGCACTGAAAACAAATGAGCTCTCAAGTCATAAAAGATCATGGAGGAGCTTAACCGTATATTGCTAATGGAAAGAAGCCAATCTGAAAAGGTTATACATTGTATGATTCCGACTACACGACGTTCTGGAAAACTAAAACTACAGAGATGGTACAAAGATTAGCGGTTGCCAGCACGTGGGGGTTTGGAGGGAGGAATGAATAGGTAGAGCACAGGGGATTTTTTTAGGGCAGTGAAGCTATTCTGTGTGATACAGTAATGGTGAATGTATAACATTACACGTTTGGCAAAACCCACAGAACTGTATGACACAAAGAGTAAACCCTAATATAAGCCAGGGACTTTATAATTGATCCAGTATCAGTATTGGATTATCAGTAGTAAGAAATATACCCTACTAATGCAAGATGCTAATAATGGGAAATATGGGAATATCTGTACTTTCTGTTCCATTTTCTCATAAATCTAAAACTGCTCTAAGAAACAAAGCCTATTAATTAAAAAAAAATTAATTACAGTGCTGCTTGAACCACTGACTCTTCTTCCCCACCCTGTATCCCAAGAGGAACAACTCTTCGGAGGGAGGGTGTCAGCTCTCCCAGCCTAGCCTCAGTAATGCCAGGCTCGTTCCCACCCTGGGTAAAGGCTTACACGGGCATCGGGAAAAGCATGAATCAAAAATGACAGCACATTTTTCATGCTGAACTATTACCTTGTCTGGTTATTTGCTATTCATACAGCCAATAATAAGCCACTCTGCTATCATGTCTTCACTTAATTTGTTCTTTAGACTAACCTTTCCCTGGGACTCTTTTGTTTCCACGGGGGCACCTAGGCTTTATTTTATTTTTGCTTATGCAATAAAGTTGGAATCTGGAACACACACTTCGGTTTCTAGAGGTGACCAGGGGAGCGTCCAGGGGAAGGAAAACTAAAAGGCCAGACACAAAACAAGACCTCCCTGATTATATATTAAAATGGTGAACAAAAACCCAAAGACCTGGTTAATTGGATAAACAGGGAGGGGCGCCATCCCTGTTCGCTTCCTGGTTTCCTGGTCCCAGGCTGAAGATTCTCTTGGACGGAGAGATGCCCATTCTCCTGGCCCTGTCCTGTTGCACAGGGTGTGGGCATTGCTCAATCTCGAGGAAAGGAGGAAGCACAGAGACGGCGGGTTCCAAACGGCTGAAGGAGGGATTTCGCAAGCGCACCAGCAGAGCTGGCCTTCGCCTTAAAAAAAGCAAGTTGCATAGGCGGTGTGATCTGAAAAGCCCCAGTGTCTCTGCCACTGAAACCTAAATTCTCCTTCTTCCTGTGGGAAGCGTGAGCAGGCACCCACTGGGTAACAGGGCACTAGAGACATCACACACGTTCCTTCCTGTGTTAGGTGAGGCTCTCTCCCCTGCTCATTTTCAGTGATGCTGCTCCCGAGCCCATCTGCAGCTTAGAACCCTCGGGAGTCTGATGGGGCTCTGGGACTCAGAAAACGGCCTGCTTGATAGTGGGGGAGAGGAGCACAGAGCTGGGAGGGGGACAGATACCAAAGACGATGCTGATGCTTCCTGATACCCTGCAGCCTTTCTGCATCCTGTCTGGGGTAGGACTTGGCGCCTGTGGGAAAAGGGGAAGGGGAAAGAGTCAGTCAGACTCCCTGAAGCCCACACTCAGGACCGCCCGGAATCAGCAAACCAGAACTCTGGGGTGTTACTGTAGCTCTTTCTGAGCCTCGTGTCGCCAGATTTGGGAGATGCGGCATTGTGTGGGAATCACCAGCCCGGGCTCTGAATATCTGACCGATTGAGACTTAACCCCTGCCTCTGCCCCTTATTGAACCTCTCTGAGACTCAGTTTCTCATCCATAAAATCGACTTTATTTTATAGAGCCTTTGTGAGCATAAAACATGACAAGTTTTTAGCACAATACCTGGCCCAGAGGAGCACTCAATCTACTAGGGGTTTTTTGCTTTTGTTTTTAGATTTTATTTATTTCTTTGTCAGAGAGAGAGAGCACGAGCAGGGAGAGGGGCAGAGGGAGAAACAGGCTTCCCGCTGAGCAGGGAGCCCGATGCGGGACTCAATCCCAGGCACCGGGGACCATGACCTGAGCCGAAGGCAGACTGTTAACAGACTGAGCCACCCAGGCGCCCCTCGATCTACTAATTTTGATGGCATGGCTCTTGCTGGTTGGAAGTCGGAATCTGCTGCTCAGTGTCCAGGGACCTCCAGCTTCTGGGTGCAGAGTGGCCCCATTCGTCTGTTCCCTGTGAACCCAGCCACGCCCTCTTCCCTGTGGACCCTGGGAGGTAAGCCCTGATGGGCACTCCAGTTTTATTACGGGCTGACTGTGGAGCTCAGTCCTAATCCACCCAGTGGCCTGTGGCAGCTGGGGCTGTGTGATTGGGCCGCTGATGGGTCCGTGGCAGCAACAGCCTCTACCCACCTCCCCCACCCGCCCCCCCTCCCCCCGCCCCAAGCATGGCCAGCTCTGGGCTGATGTATATGAGGAAAGCACAGAATCATATGGTTGAAGAGAACTGTAATTGTAATGGAAATTCAAATCACTCCACTGAACCTGTTTTCCGCATTCGCATTTTGTCCTTGTAAATCAGAAGCACCGGGAGCAATTTATTTCTAAACATCAACAATTTGGAATGGGAAGGAAAATGAAATAATTGCATTCTGACTCACTTGAAACAATTCATCTGCATGTACATGCAAATCCTGAGGGCATGTGGACACTGCAAAGTAATGCACTGGCTGGATTTTGTGTTTTCCTCCTCCCGTGTGTGCCTGGAAAGGAGGAGGAAGGCGGCTATCTTGGAGCCAGGTGGATTTCCACTCCCCACTGTGCGAAACTGATGACCGTGGCCGCTGCCACGGCTCATTGCACCCACCACAGCCAGGTGGAAACATTTCCCTGGCCTGGGGGCCCCAGGCAGGCTATCTGTGCGCCCCCCTCCCCTTCCCTAATTCATGCCCCTCCAAGGGGGGCCTGGAGAGATGCACGGAGGTCCCGCTCTTAGGTCCCAGGCATGCAGCCCCTTTCTCTCTGAAAATATGTCCTTCCTTCCCCACCCCAGCCTTTCCTTTGCTAGAACCCGAGCTTATTGCCCACCGGGATTCCCAACCTGCTGACTAGTGTCCAGGGAACCTCCTGTGAGGTCCGCCCAGGGCTGGGCGTCTAAGCGAGCCACAGAAACAGATACTCTGGGTCCCAGAAAAGCAGGGGTAGCTAAAAAATTAGGAAAACATCTTTTGGGGGAAAGAACTTGCCACTTGATGTTTCATTAAAAGAACTGAGGAGAGGAAAAGCAGAGCATTTCAGGTCTCCTTTTTTGATGTCATGGATTAGTGTTATACAGAAGTCTACACTGGCCTGGGGCTGGGGGGTGGGGTGGGCATCATACAGCCCTGTTTAACTCGTAGTCTCTAAATACCTGGCTCTAGTTCTGCCAGATTCCATAGGTCCAGGATCCCATAGGTTCTTTTGGTTACTATGATCCTAACTGGCTGTGTGGATATGTCTTCAGGGTTAGCCCAGGGGATCTCTTCTAGAGAAACGATGTGGAGTAGCAGTAGCCTAAGAAATGCTTTTTGATGGAGGAGGCAAATGGTCTAAGAGGAGAGAGCATAGGTTTGGGGTCTAAAGCTGGGTTCAAATCCTCCATGGTTCTGTGGTTTTATCATCCTGCACCTCAGTTTCTCTGTCTATAAAATGAAGAGGACAGTAGGGCCTGCCACAGAGGGGTCCCTGTGTGTATGTAAAGACTTACATGACAGTGTCTTGTGAACTGCAAAGGGTGTGTGTGTGTTATGTGTGTGTGTGTGTAAGAGGAAGAAACGTTATTTTAACATAACCCTCAAGGTTTCTATTGGATGTGCATGGTTTTTGTTGGAAAAAACCAGATGATAAGACCTAGGGGAACCAGGAGACTTCCAGGAAGGTGAGCCTACCAGTCAGCAGAAAGCTAGGGGAGAAGCTGGTGCTGTTCCAGAGCAAGAGGGGACCCAGAAGGAAGGATGGGGGCGTCAGACAGGAGGAAGGGGGAGAGCTGATGAGAGGGCAGAAACTCTCCCTGGTTTCTGGAAAGCCCTCTGCCCCTGATTTGGATGAACTTCCAGTAGAATGACGGAAGGCTTGCTGTGAGAGATTTCTTAGGGGAACACCCAAAGGAGCTGAGACTGCCCTGGGTGAGGGGGTGGGAATAGGGCAAAGGGCGCCTACGAGCGCAGGAGCCGAGCCTGAGAGTGAGCTGGGTCTTGGGAAGGCTTTGGAGGAGTGTCCCCCATCTGCTCTTCTTTAGAATCACATGAGGAGTTAAAACAAATAATTGCCAGGCCCACGCCAGACCAACTCCACAGAGTCTCTGTGGGAGGGGCTCCAAGCTCTGGTGTAACTCTGAAACTCCCCTGTGATCTGAATGTGAGCCAGGACTGAGGACCATTCTTTTTTTTTTCAAATGTTTCCACTTTTTTAAAAAATTTAAATTCAATTAATTAACGTATAGCGTATTACTAGTTTCAGAGGTACTGTTCAGTGATTCATCAGTTGCATAGAACACCTAGTGCTCATTACATCCCGTGCCCTCTTAATGCCCATCCCTCCACCCCCCTCCCCTCCAGCAACCCTCAGTTTATTTCCTATGATTACGAGCCTCTTACGGTTTGTCTCCCCCTCTGATTTTTTTTTAAATTTTATTTATTTCTTTGAGATAGAGACAATGAGAGACAGAGAGCATGAGAGGGAGGAGGGTCAGAGGGAGAAGCAGACTCCCTGCCGAGCAGGGAGCCCGA